TGATACTTTTCATTTGTACTTATATTTGCTTCCTAATACAATATCTTCTTTAGAATGCTAGAGATAAATTGACAAAATAATTTATTTATTTAATTACAAAAGTGGATGTATAAACTCATTTTCTTGAATAATTTTTTAAAACAGTCATGAAAAAGTACTTAAAGAGAAAGTCCGAGTCAGAATTATCACCTCCTCCAAATAGAGGTAGTAATTTTTCAAAGAAAAGTCAAGTAGATATTAATTTGGTAGATCTTTTATTAGATCCCGGACTACAGCCTCGGATTATGGATTATAATCCTAATGATCGATATCAAATTCGTAGAGTTTATCTACAAAAAAAAGTCTTTGTCAACCCTGCAACCATAATTTTTCACAAAAAAAGTTTGGTGTTAAACTACGACGGTTTAACAAAGATTGATTCTCGTAACTTGGTAACTGACTTGAGTATAATGTAGCGAAAGATGCAACATTTTGCTTGTGTTATTATCTTTTGAAGTCAGATATGGGGGAACAATCAGGTGGCAAAACCTTTGTTAGCTCAAACTTTTCAATTAAAAGAGAATAGAGAAGTTTCAAATGCATGTTGGAGACGTTAATAGTTCTCATAACCAAGCTTGGAAAAAATGTCAAGATTTATTAAATCCAAAGCAAAATATTGAAAGTATTTTCTTCAAACAGTCAAACCAAGCTCGAAGTGAGTACAGAACCCAATTGAATGCATCCATTGATTGTATTCAATTTCTTCTAAGGCAAGGATTTGCATTTCGTGGTCATAATGAATCTGAGAATTCAAGTAATCAAGGAAACATCCTTGAGCTTCTTAGATTTCTTGTTGTTCACAATGATGATATTAAAGTTGTTGTGTTGAAAAATGCTCTAGAGAATATCAGGTTGACTTCGCTTGAAAATCAAAAAGACATTGTAAATGCAGCTTCTGTTGAAACGTGTAATGCTATTGTGACCCATCTTGGTGATGCACTTTTTTTCTGTTCGTATTGATGAATCATGTGACATATTAACAAAGGAGCAAATGGTTGTTGTGTTGCGATTTATGGACAAGAAGAGACATGTAGTTGAACATTTTTTAAGTTTTGAACATGTTACTAATATTAGTGCTCTCTTACTTAAGGCAACTGTAAAAGATTTATTTGCTAGACATGGGTTGAAATTGTCAAGATTGGACAGGAAAGGTTATGATGGGGCTAGTAATATGCGATGTGAGTTCAATGGTCTCAAAACACTTATAATGAAGGAGATGCATATGTATATTATGTCCATTGTTTTTTGCATCAATTGTAATTAGCTATTGTGACAGTTGCAAAGAAACATATTCAAATTGCCACTTTTTTCAACTTGATTGCTAATATTATGATTGTTGTGGGAGCCTCATGTAAACAGTGAGATATTCTTATAGAAAAACAAACGACTAGAGTTATTGAACTACTCGATAATGAAGAACTTTCAAGTGGCGTGAAACCTAAATCAGGAAACTAATCTTACACGTGCTTGTGGTAAACGTTGGGGTTCACATTATTATTCTTTGATCAATTTGATTGATATGTTCTCAGAACTGATTGATATGTTTTCAGAAGATGGTATAAATACAGAACAAAGAGAGGAGACAAATGTTCGTATAAACTTGCTACCATATTTTGAGTTTATATTCAATTTTCATTTGATGAGAAGCATATTGAAAATCACAAATGAGTTGTCGCATGCATTACAAAGGAAATATCAAGATATCGTGAATGTCATGAAATTAGTTCAAGTATCCAAGCAACGACTTCAAATAATGAGTAAAATTGGTTAGAGTTGTTTTCTTGATGATGTCACATATTTTTGTGAAAAATATGGGATAGTTATTTTAAAGATAGACGATACCTTTAAAGTTTGAGGGAGGTCAAGATGTACTCAAAAAAAGACAAATTTGAATCACTATCATGTTGAGTTATTTTATACCGTCATAGGTTTGCAACTTGAAGAGTTAAATAGTCATTTTACCGAGTCAAACACTAATTTACTTGTTTGTCTGACATGTTTGAGTCCTTCTGATTCCTTTTTAACTTTTGACAAGGAGAAATTTGTTCATCTTGCTCAATTTTATTCGAAATAATTTTCTTCATTAGAGTTCATGATACTTTCTGATCAGTTGGATAGTTATATTATTGATATGCACTCTAGTATTAAGTTTTCAAATTTGTTAGGGATTGAAGATCTTGCTCAAAAAATAGATGAGACAAAAAAAACACATGGTATATCCATTGGTTTACTTACTTGTGACATTGGTATTGATCTTATCAGTTACGACTGCCACAGTAGAAAGAGCATTTTTGGTTATGAAAGGGTCTAATTAGAATCTGTATATTAATTTTTGGTTCTTTTGTCAATGAAATTTTAAATATTATATATGATTTAAAAAATTTATTTCTCTTTAACTTTAATCCTTAATAAAGTAAATTTTTAAACTTATAGTTAATGCCCCCAAATATAAATTTCTGACTCTGCCCCTGTTCATATACAAAAGTACAAATTATAAAATTAAGTAAAATCATAAAAAAGAATATCATAGAAATTTAGATATATTAACATTTATAACTCTTTATAAGAATAATACTGAATCAAAAATCTTTCATGTTATATTATTAAAAAAAATTATTTGGACTTTTAATATAAATGCTTTTTCCTTATCTGGGCAAAGCAAGACCAAGTGGTGGATTGGGAAACTCATGGCATGAATAGTCAATTCAATACAAGAAAAGATACATAACGTCATTAACAACCGAATTAAACTCTAATTTACGCAAAAAAAATGAATTAAACTCTAATTTGCTCAAAGTTGTATACCATTGGTAAAACAGTAAAAAACAATCAGAAAATTTTAATTATGTGTTCTATAATTGTGATAATTTCAGAAACATTCTTTAAATTTTTTATTTTTATTGGCATCTCCTAATCTTTTATTTGTCTAATGAGGAAGGTTAAAAAAAAATATATATATTTACGTATTTATCCTTATTTGAAAACTGTTTTTTCTGTGTGTGTGTGTGTGTGTGGGTGGGTGGGGGGATGCAAAGAACCCTTTCCACATATAAAACCACCATGTCATTATCGGAAACTAAACAAACAGTGGCCCGATGTTGTCACGAGTTCTATGAAACTTGTAGGACATGACTCATGAGATACGACAATGTTTAGGGATGTGGTTGGATTTTTATTTTTTTTAATTACTAATTAAAGAACAAATAATGTTTTGATGCCCTAAACTATTGTCTCTTTTTCTTACATTACCTTCTCAACTCTTAAATCTCACATTTCTATGTCACATATTTTACCTATTGTTATTGGTACTTTTGTGTTACTCGCACCTAGGGCAGACTCAGAGGGTAAGCCACTTTAACCTCCGCTTAGGGCTTCCAAAAAAAGAAGGGCTCCAATTTTATTTATAGTCTTTATCAATTAGATTTTGGATTACAAAGACATTAAATTTCTTTTATTTAATAATTTTATATTTATAATTTAATCTGATTTCATTGTTCTTTTTATTAGTGAATGTCTGATTTAATAGACGATTTAAAATACAAACAAAGAATGAAAGTTTATATACAATCTCTATTTATCAATTACTTTTGTTTCATTTCATTTTTAAAAATATTCTAAAGAAATTATAGTGGGTTAGTCATATTATCAATTAAAAGTATATATTACTAAAATTTGAATATAGAAACTTAATTATTAATTTTGCATCACAAAAAAGCTAGAACACTAATTTTTACTAAAATTTTAATCATAAATCTTGTGTATTTATTATTAATTTTAAAAAGTATCATTTATAATTTTCGCTTATGGGCTCAATTTTTATTGGGCCGGCCCGCTTGCACCTCCTAATATAGTTATTAATTTTATATTATTCCAAATATAAGCATCGACAATATTTGGGTACCTTACTGCACAAATGGACGATTCTGTTAAAAAGCATGGCTTATTTCTAGTTTGGGAATAATGTAAAACTAGTTTAAGAAATTGAGGAGGTAAAGTCAAACACGCATTAGATGAGGCAGACCAGGTAGGATCAGAGACTTCAGAACTTTAGGGTTTGTTTCGATGAAGTTTTGGAAAGAATTTGAATTGGTTTTTTTCAAATCTTTTTAAACTCAAACCTTTTTGTACAAATATGAGATTTAACATTGAATTTAGTTCATACCCATGTTTGGTATGTAATACATACACATATAGGACCCACGGATATATCATAATTATTAACAACTATTTATCTTATAAATGACTATTTTATTTTTGATTAATTTAATTCATATACATGTTAAGGGATACAATTGTCTTTTGCATCCTTAAACCCCTTAACTCATCTTCCCAAATTCACCGCTCTCCTAAGTTTAACGAAATCTATGATCATGAGTTTAATATTCGGGTCAACTACGAGCCGAATTTGAAAACTCATAATTGAATTTTCACTCCAAACATGAGATTTGGGGAGTCCTTTGCATTATTTTTGTCAAACTCATATTATCAAGCTCCTCCTACCCTCCTTACCAAACAAACCCTTAAGCGACATCATGCGTACACCAAAATTTTGACAAACTTTAAAATAATGCGACATTATTAATAATCATAAAATAATTAGTAAAAGTTTGTAAAAACTATTGACTATTGGATAAACATTGACCTGAAATTCAAAAAATTTGAACATTTAAAAATAATTAAATGGTTGAATATGATTTTTAGTAATACAGAGGTTTCAAATTTAATCTTTTTTCACACTAATTAAAAATTAATCATTTTTGCCATATTCTAATCCACCTCAAATAATAATAACAGCCGTTAAGTTTGAAAGGATGGTCGGTACAAATCTGATCTCCCGACAATCTAAAATTTTTTATTGGACCCATAATTCATGTGGTCAAAGTATAACTTCGGCTCGAGTAAAACAATGAATCAAAGATTCTCAAATTGGCTTTCAAAGGTAACAAAGAGAATCGTGAAAAAATGGAGAAAAGATGACCACATCTGTCTCTCTCTCTCTCTCTCTCTCCTCAATTTAGCTGTTGGAAAGCGCAATACGTCTCTTTCTGTATATTTATTCCCTTGGACAACTGAAAACGTAGCCGAAGGTGAACCCTTCTCTCTCCTCCCTCTCTCTCTGTGCAACCCATTATTTGAAGGCATGGGGTGGGGCGGAGAAGCCGAGATTGACCGGCTTCCGGTTGACCTACTCGCTCACATCTTTTCACTCATCTCTTGCTTCAAAGATTTGGCTCAGTAAGTTTGTTTATCATCTTCTGACTCATTTGATTTTCAAAATTAACATAATTTTTGTGCTTTCATGTCCCTTTTGTCTGTGTTTCTGTGTGTAATATGTGTTTGTATATGCTGGCAATACAGGACCAGCTGCGTGTGTAGGAAATGGAGACAAGGAGTGAAGGAATCCTTGGCTCGGAGAGAGAAGTTGAGCTTCGCTGGTTGGAAAATGGACGATCAATCCACCACTCGCCTTGTGGTCCATGCCTACAGCCTCAAGGAGCTCGACATGTACATCTCCCCCTCCCCCTCTCTCTATCTCTCTCTCTCTCTCTACACACACACGCATATATATTTGTTTTGTGCCTTGATTGATTTAAGTTGTATTCTCTTTAGGTGGAGAGTGTTTAAGTTTCCGAATGCCAGGTTTAGTCTTCAATGTCCACTAGTGAAATGGAGCTATTGTTTGGTGGGGTTTCAAATCTGTATAGCAGATGAAAACAGACAATTCAAATTACAAGTTTGCATTGATGTCCACCATTTTTTCTATAATGGCCATTTTTAATAAAAAAAAGAAAAAGAAAAAAAAGAGTAGAAATAGGATAACCCATGGGTATTAAGTTAATCTTTCAATACATTAAAACCTTTTTGATGTGAAACTAGGCATAGGTATTTGATGAGTTTCTGCCTTGTATTGATGATGCAAAATTGTGTTAGTGTCATGTATCTTTATCGACATTTTGAACTTTGGGACGTTGATTCCTTTGGTTTACTAACGGTTCGTTTCTATGCTTGTATGTTCAGTTCAAGGAGCCGTTGGGATTGCCAAATAACAGATAATGGACTGCACCAATTATCATTGGCAAAATGTGTTAGCAACCTGTCCTCAATATCTTTATGGGGCATTACCGGCATCACCGACAGAGGTGTTGTTGAATTGGTAAGTAATCACTATCATCTCTCAATACAAGTCCCTTACTCTTCAATGAATCTAGTCTATGGCAATCTGTTTATATAGCTGTGATGAATATGCTTATGTTTCGTTTTACCAGTATCCCATGAAAGGGAATGGAGTTTTCTTCAATGGTTGACCTCATGCCTTAGGCCCTTAATTGAATTGCCTTATGGCAATGGGAAAGTACAATGGCATGAGCTTGTCATCGAAAGCAATTGCCTATTTCTGGCTTGCGTCGGGGTGCAAGTATTTCTCAACTTTATATTTGACACTACTCTCTCCTTGCCATCAAAAAAGAGACCAAATGTCATTAGGAAGGTCTTTCTTTTGTTTGTAATTCAGATGTTTTCGATTTGGTTCCAATAGATTGAGGAGTTGTTGAACATCTTGTGCCATTTACATCTGTTCTACCATTTGTTACCACTTACAAAGATCTTGTCGATTCTTTATTCTTCCTCTGTTTTTGTGTTATTCTGGTTTCTAAAAAATTTAAACAATTTAGATGATGAAGCAAACTTCATCTAAATAATCTATCTTTTCCTACCCTATGATGATGCATTTTGCAAGTTCTTAACTTGGATACGTATCGAGTTTCTAGGAATGACATTGCTTCTCTTAGTTGATTTTCTTCTTTCCAACAGATATCAAGAGCGACCGCTTTGCAACACCTAAACATTGGTGGTACATTTATAACAGATGATTCTTTGTTTGCAATTGCCGATAGCTGTCCACATTTGAAGGTGAGTGTTGTGTAGAAATATCCAAATCCAATGGAGGTTTTATTTTGGCTAAATATTTTTTCAAGTTGCTGAATGTATTTCTGCTTACATACCATTTTTCTTCACATTCAGACTATTGTTCTGTGGGGCTGCCGTCATGTAACTGAGTGTGGACTTCTCGTTCTCGTAAATAAATGTCACAAACTTGAGTCCATCAATGTATGGGGCATGAGGGTTCCTCTAGACTGCTTCAGTGGTTTGCTTACAATTAGCCCAGCTCTTCAGATACAACCCAAAGGACTGCTGCTCGACGTTGAGGAGGTGGTTTCTGTATGGCCTGTCTTCTAAGGTGTCTAAATTATGGTTGCAAGAAGAAACACTTGGTACAGATTGTTTGCATATGTATATTGTATTCATTGTGGCCCAAAAAATAAAAAAAAAAACAGTTTGCTATGTATTTATTAATAAACAGAGCTGTGTACAGATTCAGATTGTTTGCAAATGTTAAAATGTACATTGTGTTCGGCTTGGCAGGAACGCGTTGTCACAGGTTTAATCCCATACTTTTTCGATCCCTTTCTTGGGGAAGAAAAAATTGCATTGTTTATCTGTGATATTTATGAACACAGTAATTTGGAGGTTGTTAGCTTTAGAGTTTGGCTATGAAAAAAAGGAAAAAAAAAAAAAGAGCAATCAGATAATTCATGAATTCATTAATCGAATTCAATCTACATATTGGACAAATTATTCCTGGACAGACTATGAGTGAGAGTTGTATTAGGCCAAAGACAGGATAGGAAACTGTATGTCATCTATTACCATATTTTAATTTTGGATTTTTCGACTAAATTGTCTCGATTTGTTTATAGTCTTTGATCGATAAAATAGTTTATATGAGTGAGAGCTGTATTAGGTCAAAGACATGATAAGAAACTGCTTGTCATCTATTACAAACTATGAGTGAGAGTTGTATTATGCCAAAGACAAGACAAGACAAGAAACCGTATGTCCCTACTATCATATTTTAATTTTGGATTCTTCGATTAAATTGTCTCGATTTGTTTATAGTCTTTGATCGTTAAAATAGTTTTATTATTTTGTTATTTTACTTTATTTGGGTAAAAATAAAGTTACATAGTGATTTGGGTTAACTGTATTGAAGATCCCCAAAATATAAGGTTCATCTCATTTTGGTCTTCAATTTTTCAATTGCATCATTTTAGTCCCTAAAATATTGAATATATTTCTATATGATCTCTCAAGCAGATAACATTTAGATTGTTAACAATTTTTTTATTATAAATTTGTCAT